CAATCTCCTGCTGCTCTCTGCTAGCGCATCACTGCATATGGCAGTCATGCTGGGCCAAGAACAGCAGATATTATATCTAACTGTCTTTTCTCCTAAACAAAACAACATAATCCAAAATATCATTGGAATATCAGCCAATTTAGACAAATCTTTTCACTTATCCATCCAATGGATCTGTTCTTGAAAAAGGCATACATACACATTCTTTTGTATTGTCGCAGAGCCCAGTGAATATTGTTCAACTTCCAATCTGAACACACGTTATCTGCATTTTGTTCTGTGCTTATCAGGACTGTACCTGGGGGTTCCACAAACATTTCCGTAAACAACATGAGGGAATATCATTATGATTTCAGAAAGGAAGTACACAACCACTCAAGTCACTAGGCATAGTGACTACAAAGGCTAGTGATGTCCCCAGTCACAAAGTGACTGCATCAAAAGTCACTTCAGTTATTCAAGCATTAACTTACATGATGGTGTGATGTCTGAAACAGCTTTCTTTACAGGAGTGCTTCACCTAATGTCTCATTTACATAGCCCAAGCAGAGCATCCACCAACTTCAGCTATATCCAGGAAGATAACACATTTGTGCAAACATGGTTATCAGATTCCCTATGTCAGGCACTCAGAAAACAACTAATGCACGACTAGTGACTGCAGAAAATTCAGTTCAACTGATGAACACACTTCTAACTATCTCAGAAGCAAGAAATAATTCCGTTTTCTTGGTTTCTTCAACCAAAACCATTTCCTTGCCTGTATCCTAAAACCCGCTCTTTCTGTCATACAGTCTACAGACTTTTCAACATCTAGTGGGATCAAAACAGTAGTCTTTCAACTCATTTGTTCCTCCTAATTCCTTCCTTATTCAGCTCAGAGCAACAGCCAGTAAAATACACAAGGCCAGATCTGGCACAAAACCAGTATGTTATCAGGCAGATAAAGACTATATTGTAATCCTGTAATTTGGCATGAACAGGCCAAAGAAATCTTTCACGGTTCATTTAGTTCTGGTATTTCTTTATTACTCAGTACACAACTTTGCAACATTTTTAACACTTCTAGTTTTATGTCTAAGTACAATTTCCTAAGTTTTTGGAGTTTTTTTCCTTTTTACAAAAACTTGAAAAAAATCAAAATTCCATTATGTAGCATCCCACTGGTGGGTCATCTTCAAAGTGCTAAAGTTCTAATAAAGTGCTCCCACACAGCAAGAACATGTTTTCAATTTTTAGCTTTATCAGCAAACAATGAGAAAAGGACACTTTTCCAGAGAACTCAGCAAATAGTCACAAGCAACTTGTTAAATGCCAAGACTCTTGACCTAAGGTCTTCTGTTGCTCAAGCAGGAAAAGCAAAGTAACTGTGAAGTGGGACCATGCCCTTTTGGGCACAGGTTCTTTCTTCTATCCCAGTGCGTTCCTGCTCCAGTCTTGCTGCAGTCAACCTCCAGCTGTTTGTTCCAGTTTCACCATTCCTCTCCAATTCTAGACACCTTCACCCGTAAGCCGCTTATTTGCATGCTGCAAGACTTAACCAGAACTCTTGCCACCAACCTGAGTTTCTTTGGTGCCGTCAGAAGAATATTCTTTAGGAAAAGCTTCATCTGAAATTTGATATAACTGGAAATAGGGTCTTGTAGCATGTGTCTGGAAAACACTAATGTAATGCTGCCAGCATTGTTATAATCTCACTGACACTGATCAGAAAAGATTTAGCAGCAGAAGCTATACTGCATATCCATTAGTGAGAAGGGTACATCAAACATTTCACAGAATTCAAACGATGAAATAAATATTTACACTCACATGCACCACTATGTATCTAACTAAATATTCACCTCAAAGTAATCTGGACTGATGAATATTCCATTCATGTGCCAGAACCATTTTAAAATGCTTTGTCACATCTTCTTTCTCTGAAACAGTAAATAAAGTGAAGGAAGAGACTACTAAATTTGGGTCAGTACTAGTTTTAACTAAGAATATCAAAGAAAAGATTTCAGTGGAAGTTCCCACTGGTTCCAGTGGGCTTAATTTGCACACACCAACATGCAAACATCATCAAAAGAGTGCAGACCATGATGCAGAGGTATTGGTCAAGGAGTGGTATTAGTAACATTATTACTATGTTTTTCCTTTATCTTAACTCCCCCACTCCCCATTCCCTCTATTCACTTGCCTCATCCTTCCACTACCCCAAATAATTACATTTACAGCAGTAACGATTTGTGTTCTTTGGTGCCCTCTACGGGACAGATTTCTGCAACATAAAGTTGCGAGGAGGAAACCACAGCCTTCTCCCTCCCACAGGAAAGAGCACAAATGAAATGCACTTGGAAGTGGGACTTCTGAATTGCTGACAACTTTAATTAATTCGCAGGGTACATGTCACGGGTCTCTGCAGCCACTGTTTTTGCAGAGGTTGCTTTTCTATAAGATCATTCAACCTTTCTTCAAGAAAGCAGCAGCAGTATTCCTGAAAAGGTTTTGTTTTTTTTCAAAATCTACAAAAGCCAAGGTCAGTAAGCATTCAGTCTTGCCTTTTGCTTAAGTTCAAAACACATATATAACAACTGGTTGATCAGATACGTATTTGATAGGAAAGGTTGCAACTCGAACGTATACTACACAGGATGCAATAAAAATCCCCACTTCAGAAGGCCAGCAAAAGGACATCAGATGTGAAATGGGATTTTTAGGTATCGAGATAGATCGTGACAGTGGGACTGCAGTTTTTAAGGTTGGTTTTTTTTTTCTCTCCCAAGACACAAATTGCAGAGTATCTTCATCTGTAGAACTTTTAATACTTTTTAAACACAATATAAGTACTCATCTACAAGGGGAGGAAAAAAACATACTATCTTCTATGTACCAACTGCCTAAGGGGACACTCTTATTCCTATTTAAAGTAAGTTAAGCTATGCCAAGACACCTTTATTCTACTTTTTGGGTAGAATAAGAGTCCATATGGATGATTAATGCTCAGAAACCTGCCCAACCTTATTCCTCACCCACTTCACTAATTACAGAACATACACATTTAGACACAGGCCCAGATTCATCCTCATTAGCTTTATGTCAAGTGACTAACCATAATCTTATAAGCAGAAAACACAGCAGAGTACATTGGTAGAGTCCTGGCACCTTAAAAAGCCCATGGAGGAGAAAGCACCACAAGCTCAAAGTGCCTGCGGCTCCTGTCTGAGCAGCCAACCTGTGCTGGCTGACCTCCCATGGACTACCTGCTCGGACACACAAAGTGCTGACTGCAACTGCTGAGTGTGCAAAGAGGAAGGACCAGCAGACATCAGGGACCCCGTCAACAGAAAAATCTCCACCAATGAGAAAGAGAGCAGCTTAGGAGGACTGGAGAATGAGAGACAAAAAACATGGATGAAAGCAGAAGCAGCTGTCATGGAAGTGATAGGCATGGTTTTGTTTGATCAGTGACAGATGGTTGTGGGGGAGAAAAGGGATATTTTATTGAAACATTTGGGGGTTGCTTGCAAGGTGTATAGGTATTTGTGGTTGTGGGGGTTCACTTGCAATTTTCAATTGACTTTATTTATAAATACGGCATGACAAAATATTTGATTTTTTAGACATCCTTAAATAAATCAACTTGCACAAATGAATCATGGTATTTTTCTAATAACTAATATTCAGTCCATTTTAAAAACATACTGAAATGTGCTTGCCTATGTTTAACACTACATAAGATATGTTTAATAGCATTTACAGTAAAACACATGAAATGCTACATAAGCGGTGATATTTAATGTTTTCTTTAATAATACAGATGATGTAGTAAGCAGAGTTTAAACATCTATTCCAGATGGAAAGTGAAAGAATATTGAAGAACAGGATTAAAATTCAACCTTGAGAACTTGTTAAAAATCAATCCGGTAAGGAAAAATAAAGGCTTCTGTAGGTAAGCAGAAACCATCTGTACAGAAAGAACAAGAATTGCCTAGAATGCAGCTCTGCAGTAAAGGATCAAGAGATCACAGTGGATCACAAGTCAATCATGAGTTAGCAATGACATGGTCCTGCAAAATGACCATTATACTGAAGTGTCAAGTCTGGAATATGATCTGTAAAGACCTGTGAAATAACCTTTCAGCTCTACTGGTCTCAAGCAAAACTTCAACTTAGAGTAGCATAACCAATTTCAGGGATAAAACTTGGAAAAAAGAGAAAGATGTGACCAACTGCAGAGAGTTCACAGAAAAGCAAGAAGAATTATTAGATTCTATCATGTCTCCCCTCAATTAGATATAGGGTAGACATGACAACTATTCAAAAATATAAAAGGTATCCACAAATAGAAAGACTAACTTACTTATAGCTAGAACATGAAATTAAAGACTTATGATGCCAATACAAAATTTTAAGCTTCTACAAAGAAGCAGCTGTCTAACAGATAGGAAAGCATTGGAACCGACTACTTAGGAGGCTGCAGAAATTTCCATGTCAGACATTTTTAAGAACAAAAATCAGGATTGGTTTAGATACAATGGATTCTGTGGCAGATGAGACCATTCTAGAAAAGGGAGGAGACCAAACAAGAACAAAAGAAAGATTCCAGTGACATGAAAAGGGAAAAATATGCCCAGGAGGTCAGGGGAGAAAAAGGAAGTCAGCAGAAGGCCTGGGGGGAAAAAAAAAAATAAAAAAGTTCAGGGACAACTGGCTCCTAGACCAGTTTCAGCCTTATTTCATATCATTTCCACTATTAATTTTTTAAATTCAACAAACAAATCAGAGGGCACTGAAGCCACAAACACTTGCACAAGATCTGAATTTAGTTCACCTTACACGCTGCTCCTTTTTACCAAAAGCTCTTTTGCGGAAACCGTGGTAGAACCCATTCTGTGCATCTCTCAACTTCACATTTTACAAGTAGTTCTGTTGGACTTCATAAGGATAGTAAATAAAAGTGAGGAAAAATGCATCTAAAACCATAACTGTTTCCATACAGTAACATTACTCACTTGTTTCATATTTTCTGCCAAGAACACAATATAAACGCTACAAAATCCCAGCTGTGTTACAACTAGGAAAAAGTCGACAATATACCTGAGGAAGAAAAAACAAATAGACATTATACTTAGGATCCAAACAATTAACCCATTTCTACCTAATACACAATTACTACTCCTTTTTACAGTAGTCAAAATGCTAGATTCAAAAGCCGCATTAATCTCATGAGCACTGCAATGCAGGTTCCTCTTATAGCAAAACAGGGTGGGTTTGTATGTGGGGGTTTTTTAAGGTAACATTGAGTAGGCATCGAAGTTTCTCAAAAAAGAAGGTATTCATACTTTAAAGTGGCATAAAATGAAATTCTAAGACTTAACGACGTGGTACAAATACAAACAACGGACATATAAATTCTGCTGGGTTCCATTAGCCCCTAACACAGCAGTTTTCCACCAGGACCAGAGATTAAATGTCTTATACAGTCTAAGCTATACAAGTTTCAGCATTTCAAGGTAACAAACATTTTCACATCTTTCTAAGTGGGTCCATACCAGTGTATCCAAATACACATTCAGGCACCGTATCTCATTGAAAAAAAACCTCTAAACTATAGTTCAGATTGTTTTTGAAAAACATTATACACAATGGTGGCCTGAAGACACGCTGTAATGAAACTCTGCTAGAGTCAGGTGTACAGTGGAGATCTGCCTCAAGAATGGGTTTGCCGCAGCACAGTGTCTCTGGAAATCAAATTGCCACTTGTGGCTTGTAACTCTTTGGTGCATTACAGAATTGTCGTTATATTTCACTACACACCGATTTTCCCTCTAATTGACCTCTACTCCATTTCTGTGAAGTCATCACAAAGATCTTAAAAGACTAGCTCAACTTTTTTCTTATTTGTAACAAAGTAATAGCCAAAACACACAATGAAAGATGCTGCATCCTTGAATATATCATGACCAAAAAAAATCCTTCCTCAAGTGAGGACAAAAAATACTTTAAATTAACATTGAACAATATGGCTGAGTTTTTGATTTTCGCTACTGTGTAGTCATACCATAAACTCCATAAACAGCTATACATGGCAAAGAAAAAACAATGGTCTTTTTTAAAAGGCATAAAGTATTTAAGAGAGACAAGCTATTAATATCTGCATGTCATTACTGCAAAATATAGTAAATATTTCTCCATTATTTGTATGTTCTATTTAAGCAGGAATCAAAGAATTGCTTTGCTTCCTTTCAGAATAAATATATTGAAGTAATTTACATTTGCAGTGTCAACCTGCTTAAAGAGTAAACTCTGACGCAGATAAATGTGTTTACAGTAGAAGAAAATGAAAAATTACTTCACTATATTAGACAATACAGAATGCATTTCTGGTTATACCACATCTCTTCCTATATTACTAAACAGAATTCTTTTCTTTCCAGCTCTTGTAAACCGGAAAATTGAAACGCAGAGACACTCCCCAATCCTCTCACGTCACCACTAGTAGCTGCAGGGAATAACAAATAACACTGCATAAAAATATTTCAAGCACGGAGAACACATTCTTAAAGCAGGTAACATCTTAGTAAAAAGGAAATCTCCTAACCATTCCAAGTGTAGCCCTTAATTTTTAATAACAAATTTATTAAATTAAATTCTAATGCAAACTTACCGTCCCCAAGAAGCTCGTTTCTGAAGAGCTGTCAGGGGCCCCACTTCCATGGCATAACTAACTGTATCGCTATATCCCAGTGAGGACTTTTTCATCCTGAAATCAAAGAGTGAAGAAAGAACGGAGTTACTAGAAACTATGAGGGCCTAGATCCCTACCTTGAAAATGCTGGTGGCCTCCCAGGGTTATAATAAGTAATCACCTGTGGCACCATTCTGCAGCTGATGAATTTCAGAGGTATGGTTTGGGCTTCTTTCCCCCAGGAAGGGCTATTCAGCACTCTACAAGCATGTGAACCCCAATGTTGCTCCCCTCTAATTAAACAGTACCAAATCAGTTTCTTACAGAGCAACTTTCTTGATAAATTAATCCAAAATGAGATTCTTATAATATCAGCTTAAGAAATTCATCTCAAACCTTAAAGTCATAAAGAACTTCAACAGGATTCAGCAGATTTTCCTGGACAAGCAGACAATCCAATTGTTTCAGTAATCTCAGTTTTATGTACATCTTCAAAGACCATTCAAAATTACAGAGGAAAAAGCAAAGAATTCAGGAATAACAGGAGCCCTTTGCAGTACAATATCACATTAAGCTGATAAGATTTTCCAGCTACAGGGACACAAACAGTTTTGTGTTTCTATTCAGTTCAAAAACTTCATTGCACTTTTTAAATACAAGACCCTCCCACTGTTTTTCTTTAACACCTGACAGTAAGATAAAAATGTTTAATAAAGGTCACTATTAATCAAAATACTCTATTGGTCAAATTTGAATAACTGCTTCCCCCCCTTGTATTGTACATCTCACTTGGAGGAGTATCTAGTGTTTATCGGCTCACTAGCATCATTTTAACACATTCTTCTAGCACTACAATTTTGAAGAATTAAGTTGTCACAATCCAAAGAGACAGAGCTCCCATATAATCATGAAACACGTTAACAGCAATTCTTACTTTATCTTTTATTCCTATAAAGTACTTATAAACCAGTTATTTATAAACTGGACATTTGTCAAAGCTATGAAGATTCAGAAGCTATGAAGAAAGCTAGGAAGATAAAGAAGGACTAAAGGACTGAAGCTAAGCAATTAAAATCACAATGGGAAAGATGTGATTATTTGCCAGCTAAGACAGGGAACAGGATACCGGGCAATACATGTTAAACCAACTCAATTTTGTGTATGCGCAGAGAAAAGACAGCAGTGTTGCACAAAGCACAGCTATCATTTATAGTTGCATGATAAGAATTTGAGTGTTGTTTCTTTGAAGTACAAGATTCTGATCTGAAGAAACTGCTACAGCATCAGGACATCCTGTAGGCCAAAAATTAGAAATAGGAAAGAAAAAAAGAATACTCAAACTCAGCAACAGAATGAGTAGTTCCACATTTACCTCTGACATAGACAGTGGCTGCAACGTACCAAGATGTGCATACAATGAACAGATATAACTCCTATGAACACAAGGCTGATTGGTCCAATCTGGTATGGGAAAAAAAAGGGAGGACATGGGAGATAAACAGAATTTTTCATGAAAATACGCTGGGGGAAAATCTTTACATGCAAAAATTTCACATTGTAGCAAATAAATAAAGAATTTAAAATTTTATGCAACTGGATTTTTTTCCCCCTCTCAGAGGAGTATTTGCTGCTGATGTTTTATGGCAATCCTTACTTCCAGTTCACTACTTGACAGAAGGCTACTCAGGGGCGATCAAGCCATAAATACCAAATGGGCATGAACAACTTCACTCCTGTAACAGCTTCATTAAGATATTTGCCAAAAAAAATTGTCAAGGAGAAGACTGCATATTGAACCATTTTTAAGTGGCAACGTTAATGCTAATAAAGGTTTCTTTCCTTTAAATTAAATTTACCCTGCCTTAGGAAATGTGTTGTTTGTTAACCAGTACAAACTAGCCTGTGCTATACCCTGTTTCTGCAGAAATACAAGATTGATTTAACAAGCTGGTGCTGCATCCTAGCACATACAATCTGGATAGAGAGGAGTCTGGACAAAGATAAGACAACCCCGTGACAATTCCCGTGAGACATCATAGAAGTCTGAGTGAATCAAAATCTTTCTTTTTCTGACAAAGCTTTTGTTTTCCATACAAAACCACTTTGGCTAAGCAAAAATAAAATACATGCTACAAAGTCTTCAGAGTGAAGTAGCACCTTTAAAAAAACCCAAAAATCTCAGTCTTCTGTAATAACTTCACCAAACTAAAGAGGAAAAATAGAACACAACTGTTGAAGCTGGTAGTGACAAACAAAAACTATCGAGATTTTAGTTTTCCAGGCTCAGACACATATCTATAGATCTTTCCAGATAATTTTCTTAATCTATGAAAAATAGGTGAATTCTGACCACAATGCCAGCATTTTTTATTGCAAGTGGAAGACCAAGAAGCCCAGTTCCAATGTTTCCCTTGAGGAGGTGCGTAAGTGTTTGTATAAACCTAAGGATAAAAAAAGAAAAAGTCACATTAGAAGTACACTCAGATTAGTGAGGGGAAAAAAAAAAAAACAAAACAAAACAAACCCACACTCTATCATTTATTAACATACAGGGATAATTTGTGAATTTCAACTACTTTAAAATAGTCCAGCACATTCAAAGAATGTTCTTATTCATCTTTAGATGTGAGCTCCCTCCAATTGAACATGCAAGACTGATGTTCAGTTCCTTCCTCCAGCTCGTGAATGGTTATTTGCTGCGCACTTTTATTGTCCTTCTGCCTCAGAGTCAAAATTACCAAGTTTCATCAATGCTATTTTAGAATCAATAACATTCAAAACAATTACCAGCTACAAATCACAGTTCTGACAGTCAAAGTGTATCAAAAGAAAAAAAAACCCTTTACAAGATCTTCTAACTAAACTTTAACAAACATTATTTCCAGAGTCTTCTGAACTTTCTTTAGGAAAAAATAAAATCAATCAAAATCTTCTTTAAACAGTGCTTGGATTTCAAGTGACCCAATCACTTTACAAATGGGCACCTTGGAATATTTTACAGCCAGTACATCATTAGCTTCCAAAGAACAGAGAACCTACCCAAAATGGGCTGCTTTTTGGCAGAACTACACAAAGTCCTAAAGTATAGCAACAAAACTGTACTGTGGATGCAAAAAAACTCCTTAAGAGTTCAGCAAACTACTCATGAGAAACAAGTTGAAGGCAATGGTTTTTAACAAGCTGATACTTAAGAGTAATACATACGTAATGCCTTCTTCATTATCAAGCTGGTAATGCTTCTCAACTGGCAGGAAATTATTTTCGTGCTCCTCATCTGAGATGCCATCTGAATTTTGTTCATCAATTAAAGGTTTCATTACTTCCATGTCTACACAATAGAGTTAACATAAATCAAGCATTAGAAACAAATTTATAGTTCAGAACTAAAACATAACTCAAATAATTTGCCATGCCATGAGGTTTATGGGTGTTACTAACTACAAAGCTGATTTAGGCAGATAGATACATACACCACAAGTTTGCACAGAAATTCTCTCTTTATAGGGGCACACAGTCTCATTACTATTATCATCATCATCATTATTACGGCCAAACACTACAGTTTTTCATTAAGAAAAACAACTTTGTATCATAAAAATGTTGATGGTTTAGATCATTTTGCAAGCTAATACAACATACAGCAAAACAGAAAAAAGTCATCTGTTGCTACAAAAGGAGGAGATTCATCTTACCCGCTATTAGCTATTGCCAAACTAAGCATTTAGGTTACTTTCCATTTTTTATCAGTGGTGTGTGAGGGCACCCCCCAGACTTATCCCATGCTAAAATGGACAGGTAAGATAGGTACCCCAGAAGATGTCTCCAGTCACTGGTGAGAGAACCAAGATAATGGAATTAGGCTGCATGCTCTGAAAGCTGCAATTTCATGAACCTTTTAAAGCAGCACAAACTGCCACCACAGTCAACACATGCAATCCCACCATCTAGCTAAATAACAGCACCAAGCAATAGCAAGCAGCCAGTAGTGAACAAAATTGCCTTTCAGGCAAAACTAGCACCTTACGCCAGTTTAATGTTGATTAAATTATAACCATTTTTTAAATTACCACAGTTAAGCAAAACAAATCCTGCAAAAAGATTATTTACCTTACACTTGCCTACCACAGTATCCATTCATAAAATGTGTTGAGTCTCAACTTCCATCATTTTCACCAAAAAAAGAAATGCCTGTGATTTTAACATTTGTATTTTTAAAAAAAATAGTACTGAGTATTTCTAAGTGTGCAAAAGCATACCTTACTGAATTATCACATTTACTCTGAAAATCTCTGAAAATTATCACTCTGAAAATGTTGAAGAATACCACAAAAGACATTAGACATTAAAACACGCTTCACTATTCAGCAAGCAAAAAAATTCCATAGTTTGAGTGAACATTCAATACCTTAAGCATACTAAGGTTATTTATTTTGTAAGAAAAATATAGATGCTAACTGAATACCTGTGAAATTTGTAACACCGGTTGAGACTGTAGAAGCATTTAAAACAAAGTATGGACAACTAACACCTTTAATGTACATAGTGGTATATGAACCTGCCAAATACGAGTTTTATTTTGGGGAGTTATTATGGTCAATCTGATAATAATTACTACTTAATTTGAAAACAAGACACATGCACAAAACCAGACAGGAAATACAGAATGTACTGAAAACTAGCCCTTGTATTGGGTTTGCGTGGCAAGGTTTTGGTAGTGGGGAGGGGCTGCAGGGGTGGCTTCTGTAAGAAGCTGTGAGAAGCTTCCCCTATGGCCGATAGAGCCAATGCCAGCCAGCTCCAAGATGGACCCACCGGGTCCAGTGGGGGAGCAGAGATCCACCTGCACCCGGGGAGGAGCCCACGCCGGAGCAGGGGGATGTGCCCCAAGGAGGCTGTGACCCCGTGGGAAGCCCACGCTGGAGCAGGCTCCTGGCAGGAGCTGTGGCCCCATGGAGAGAGAGGAGCCCACGCTGGAGCAGGTTTGCTGGCAGGGCTTGTGACCCCATGGGGGACCCACGCTGGAGCAGTCTGCTCCTGAAGGGCTGCACCCCGTGGAAGGGACCCACGCTGGAGCAGTTTGTGAAGAACTGCAGCCGTGGGAAGGACCCACGTTGGAGAATTTCATGGAGGACTGTCTCCCGTGGGAGGGACCCCACACTGGAGCA